TATTATATAAATATGCCGTGCAATAAAGTAGCCACTAGCCACATGTGGTTATTTAAATTTATATTTTAATTAATTAAAATAAAATGAAATACAAATGTTCTCCCTCAGTCATAGTTGCCACATTTCAAGCATTTAATAGCTGCATGTGTCTTATGAATATTATAATGCACGGTGCAATTATTAAATGTTTCCATCATTGAAGATAATTTTCTTGTATAGCACCGTTCAAGGTCATGACAGTTTTAATATGCATTACTTTAAGCAAATAAGTTTTGCCTTGCCATTCAATATGAGAAATAAATGGGAAATTACTAAGAAATGAAATATATGAATATTTATTCATAGTGTTTATTGAGAAACAAACATATTTGAAAACATTAGAAAAATAGTTTAGTTTTTTACAGTCATATAGTTCCATATTTTCTACAGCCCAGTATTTTTAAAAGCATAGAAAATGCAAGGGTGCTTTTTAACATTTAATAAAATTGAATATAATCAAGAAAATTCGCAATTTTTTTTTACAACTTACCCCAAATTATACACACACATGCACAAGCACACACATTATATATATAATTTCTCAAAATAAGTTAACTTACATATCAATTACTAATTCTGGAAAATAGAATATCAATCTGAGTTTAGACATGGTTTTGTGAAAGAATCTACAATTTCTAAAATTGCTTGTCTCTCCCCAGCTGTTGCTTTTCAAATGTATCAGGGTTCAAATAGAAAGAGAAACAGAATCAAATAGGAAATAGAATATTAACATTTCTTATTTTTATAGCACAAACTTCCCAATGCATTTTAAAAATAGAAGATCACATGGGGATATTTTTCAGGCTTGAAATCTTGAATATATAAGCAACTAATCATGAGTGAATTTGTTGAATTTGCATTAAATTGTTTAAGCCAGTAGGGTGCACACATTTTGCATTCTAAAAGTATCTAAATATAGTTTTCAATAATGAATAATGTACTGCATTAATCATTTAATCTTATATAAAATATATAGGCTATATTTAGTTTTAAGGAATGTACTCAGTTCAACACACACACACACAAATATGCACATTTAATATTTTCTGAATAGAACCTCTGTTCACTAGTAGGAGGTCTCCCATTTGATTTCAAAGAATTATTCATAATAGGGGAAGTTAATTTTTCCTATGATTATTTTCTTTTTACTCCTTACATTTATAGGTTTTTTTCATAGTAAGCCTTGCAGAAAAATAAAATAGTCATCTATCTACATAGAATGGCTTGAGGACTGACGGTTTGAAGGTTTTGTGACTAATTGATTTGAGAAGTTGAGCCTTCTGATCAGAGTGACTGAGATTCTCCATTTCCCCTACTGTCTTATATCAGATATACCCACAGGTGCAATTTTTTGTACTATGTGTAGAGTTCCTAAAAATCTTTAAAGAATATTTCACATCCTACCTTTAGGTAATATATTTTTCAGCTCCACTCCAGGATGAAATGAACTCTCTCCAACAAAACCAGGTTGCTTGGAGTAAGAATAGGTTGAGACATAGACTAGAGAGGTTAGTCTAAAAAATGCAATATTGCCTTAGGAGAACATGTCAGAAACATGATCATAAAATAGAGAGCCCTGAGTAATGAGAGTAAGTGGTAAAGAAGGTAGAGGAATGGAAAAGTAGGACAGATAAGAAAAAAATAGTTGGTGTTTTCTAATAGATGGCCCTACTAACTTTAGGCTTTACTTTTCAGAATCAGCTTCCATTTTTAAATAATTTTGCAATTCAAATATATTAAATCTAACAAAATCAAATTTCATTTAATATCTACAATTTTTATGTACAAATATATCACTCAACTTGTTACCTTAAATAAGACTTAATGAAGATTATAAATAATTTGTATTCTTTCAGATTCACCCTTTCCTCTTTCATACAATCTCATTAATCTGTATTTGTTATTGTATTTCATCACTGTGTACGACTCTTATGGCATACTGTTTCAACCTACAGCAATTAACTCAGCAATTTGTTTCAATAATCATTGCTTCCTCTATCACTAATTGTAACCTACACATTTTCTAATTCTTTGAACAGTATATACAAAATACTTTTTCAAATTGATCATCTTTTCATTATTATTCAGCAAACATTTATTAAATGCTTAGGATGGGCTATTTGCCTATGCACAAAGCTAAGTATGGTCCCTGATTTCCAATGTCTCTCATTCTATTTGATTTTACTCAATCATAAGAAAATACTCTAAATAATTTTACATTCTACAATATGATTTCCTAGTAAAGAATCTCATCGTTCGTGAACAATGTCTCAATTTTCACAGTTTCTGTTTCAAATGATCACAGTGAATTCACTGACCAATTGTCATACTGCCAATCAGACTTCATGAATCATACTGCACTCATCTTTACATTCACTGGAAGGCTTTCAGTTGCACACAATATAAACATGTATCTCACTGAATTTTAACAGTGAGGGAAGTATTTTCTTTCAAAGTACTAAGGTAGGTGTTGCCAGGATTCTTAACTCAGCTATTCAGTGAAAGCTTTAAAGCCTCATTTGTTGTTGTTGTTGTTGTTGTTGTTTTTTCCCCCATCTGCTCTGTCAATAGCTTTGCTGCTGTGATGTTCTGAAGGTGGTTACTGTGGCTTCAGGCAAATGTTCATGGGGAATAAAAAGGGAAAACAATCTTCCACAGTGTTTGTGTCTTCTTTTCAGTGAGGAAAAACTTTATAGAGATTTGCCAATAGCAGTCTTCTTAATTATAGGTGAGAATTATGTTATAGTTTTATTCCCAAGACAATTTGTGATAAGAGAAATGGACCATACTACTTTACTTAGATCAAAAGAATTTTATTTCATGGATGAGTTCCAGCCCCCTAGAGAGTTGTTGCCACATGGAAAAGGATAAATTGTTCAAAAACAAAACAAAACAAGATAAAACAAAGAAAAACAAGCAAGAAAACAAAAACCGTGACTTTGCTAAGATGAAGGGAGGGGGACAGGATATGTTTGGTGATGTCGGCAGGCAACAACAAGACCTCTTACCCTCTGATCTGTCACACCTCTTCCATCAGGCAGGTGCTACTAAACCATCTCTTTTATATTTTCAATGTGTTGAGAGGATCTACTTAGTTTGCAAATAAAAAGAATCTATTCATTCTGTCACCAATAAGATTATTTTCCTAGATACCAGCATCTTATTCATTAGTACATTTAAAAAACATATCTATTTCTAAAATATCTTCCCAAACCTATTACAGGTGTAGAGCAAAGAAAAACATAGCCTTGCTCAATATGCAAAGAGTATAAAATAAATTACTGCTATTTCTTAATCCATTCTAATTTTATAAATTTAAAATTTTTAATCTTGCTTCATTAGTGAGAAATTTAGGATTCAAGGAGCATAATAATTTACCTAACAGCTTTATTCCCCTATTAAAAATTTTTCTGCTTTGGTGTTTTCAAGGCAAAGGAATATTTTTAGGGCAAATGACCTAGTTAAATATAAAAAGCTGCAGTTAGTGTGAAACTGCTAGTTAAAAATCATATCAGAAACTTGAGCCCAGACTTCTGTTATCAAATTCCATACTCCTCCAGGAAAACATTATAGAAGGAAATCATTATAACTTCATATCTATAGACTTATCATATTTCCAAAATTACATTGAATCTATTAAGAAATTTCTAAAGTTAAGATACAGAAATATTAATCTATAGACAATCACAAGAGGCCATCACTCTCATACTAAGTTTGATAAGATAAGAAAGCGTTGCTTTTTTGTTGTTGTTGTTTTGTTTTGTTTATACTAGTCAGAGAGCTGAGGATGTAAAAGAAGCCCAAGAGAACCAAGTACTAGAAGTAAGAAGCCCATTTGAGAAATGAGACTGATGACTTCTCTTACCTTGCTAGAGCAATGAGAAAATCAATCATCTGGGTATAATAAGAAACTGGAGAACATTTTGTTGAACTTTTAATGGTTGTATGTGGTTCTGACATAACACCAAGGTTATCCAGCGAAAGAGTAAGTTGCAACAAATTGGCAATATTTTCCTAGAATCTTCACTAAGTAATTGGGGGCAGTATGTCAAAAGATGGGGCTCAGGGCAAAAGATCTGAAAGAGATCCTCCTGGAGGCAGTTGCAACTTCCCCATGTGTGAGGTAGTCTCAAATTGAGGCAAGAGAGAAAACCTGAGAGAAATCAATGCTAGGTCCTATGGAATTACAGAAGACAAAACAAAGAAAAGTACAAGAAAGCAGAGATAATGTCCTCCAAGGCATTCTCAGTTGACAGTGTCCCTAAGTGCAGAAATTGGTATGTTAAGCCAGAATGCTAAGAGAACTTAACAGTAAAGCTTGCAAGGCAGAGAGAGATTTCCCTGGTTCAGAAATTGGCATTGGCAGCTTGCCTCTTGTATTAGTCATGGTTCTCCAGAGAAATAGAGCCAATGGTGATGGTGGCGTATGTGTGTGTGTGGGGTGTGTGTGTGTGTGTGTGTGTGTGTGTATATATATATATATATATACATATATATATATATATATAGAAAGAGAGAGAGAGAGAGAGAGAGAGAGAGATTTATTATAATTAATTCACAGGATTATGAAGGCTGAGAAGTCGTCCCTTGATCTGTTTGTTCTCTGCAAACCAGAGCTCCAGGGACATAACAAATTCTTTTTAACTTGAAGTTAAGACTGGTACATGGCCACATTGTGTGTGTGTGTTTGTTTTTGTTTTTTTTTTTTTTATGACAGTAAATTGACATGCAAAAAAAAAAAGTTTTACTGTATTCTCTGTGTCAAAATAAATATTGATTGATTCTAACTATAGGGGATAATTTTGTTCCTACTATGCAATGGAGCTAAGGGTTCATATACCTATAATGCAGAATATTCTGTGAAAAATATTCTGAATATTTTGTGAAAATAGAATATTTGGTGAAATATTCAGAATATTCTATGAAAAAAATATACATTTTTTTCTTTTTATTATACTTACATGTAGTATGATTAAAGTCAATCAAAATCTATGACCAATCACATTAGGCAGAACTGCTTATGGCTCCAGTTCTTCAGGAACATAGGTTTGTGTCATACAACCATGCCAGAAAGCAAACTCCTGGAGGTTTAGGAGCAAAGTAACAGAGAATTAGTATTAATAGTAAAATAAGAAATGTTAAATACTAGCTATGATCATGTGACCAGTTGTTATACAAAAACTGTAATCTCTAAGTTGTAAACATCTTTTTTTTGTTATGAATATATATATATATGTATATGTGTATAACACAAATATTATTTCTTCTCCTCTACCATTCTCTTTTTGGTTAACATAAGATATATGAACAATAGTTATTTATATATCTCACTAAATTGTAGGATATCAGATGGGGGGATAAAAGTGAACAAGAAGGAAAAAAAGATTACCAAGGACAAAAAAAGAGACTTTGTATCTTCTTTTATGAAAAGTGTCGGTGTGTTTATGGTTAAATGCCAGATAGTTGAATCATGCTAAGTAGGGATGCTAAGTTAAAAAAGAGTGGATTATGGTGGTTTTGTAATATGCAACTTGATTAGCCTGAACTATGTTTCTTAGAATTTCCTCTCTGTTTTTGTGTGATATGGAAGGTTGAAGTGAACAAGAAACCATATTGTTTTTTAGCCATGCTGTTTGGAGTTGTGTCACAAACTCACACAAATATTCACTGATCTGCTGGTTTTCTTCATTGGTATAGGGCATCAAGTGGGCCTGTAGCTATTTCACTTTTTCTGAGATATTCCTTCAGCTTCTCTGACTCCTTGGCTAGATATACATTTAACTCCATGATAGAGAGTACTGGCTTCTGAAGGACACCCACATCATTGAGGTTGTAGGCTCTTTGAGACAGATACCATTTCCACTTCATCCTTATGCATTCTAGTTCTAATTTATGCTCATGGATTACAGCTTTTCCTTTCTCTACCCCAGTTTTACATCCATTTTCCATTTCTGACTATTTTTTAAGCAGAATTTAAGCCCCAGCAATACACATGAAAATATTCAATAACCATCTCTGACAATTGCCTAAGATTAATTCATTTAAAAAATCCCTTTAGATATGTAGCTGATAGACAAATAAATATCAATATAGACATATATAGATAATATATAAATATAGATCTGTATCTATGTAATATGTATTTATCTATGTGACATATATCTCTATCTCCAAATAGATTTGTGTCTCTGATTGAACTCTAATATAAGAGGTGCTAAGAACTTAATGAGCTTCCAAAATTAAAAGACATAAAATATATTCCCAAATAAAAGGTAGATTTATCTTTTTCTGGTTGGAATTTTAGATAAATTTAAAATTAAAATTATTCTAATAAATTAAAAATTATTTTATTTAGTAAATTTAAATGTATTTTATTTTAAATTTACAAATAATTATATATAATTATTGAGTACAATGTGATGTCTTGACATATGAATACATTGTGGAATGATTACATCAAGCTAATTATAAACAAATTAATGACACATAGTAAATTCATACATGTGATGAAATTTGACATGTTGATATATAAAAACCAAGCTCATATTTAAAAACAGAGGTTTTTTGATATGTGATCAATGCTTTTCTAAGTATAAAATATGGAATTGTATACCTTTAAATAAAATTAAATGCATCTTGTTGATTCAGAGATAGTATTTCCATATTGATTTATTTAATAGAAAAAGTAATTAAAATATTAGAACACATGCTGGCAATATAAAGATACCACTGTAACATTTATTTGGTTCAGAATATTCAACCCTCTGCTTTATTTATTTTTTCTTTTCTTCCAACAATAACAGAGGTTATCATGCCATCAGTAGTAAATGATTTAACAAACTGTTGTTAGTCTAATCAATTTGACTCAGTAGGAATTAGAAATACAACTGAGTAGGTAAAATTAAAATTAAAGTTGATATAAGCAAGGGCCTAAAAGATACAACTAAAAACTATTTTGTCTGTTATCACTTGCTTCTTGTACCTGTGTAGTATGTTATACACAATCTCTTAAATTCATCACTGCAATATATGGCGCAAAAAATATTCATGTTAGACAAGGTTGATTTTTGGCTCATTAAATAACTGAATTTAAAATGCCTTAAACAAAGAAAAAATAGAATAAAAGAATAAGAAAGAAAAGAAATTTATTAAAAGGATGCAAGTGTAGGATGCAACAGTATTTAATGGAACACAAGGGTAGACAGTACATTTAGGCCTTCTGAGGGCTGAAAAAAGAGATATGGAAATCTATCAAGGACCAAAGCTTCCACATCATAAGTGTCTCTTTCTCCCTCTCTTCTCTCTCTTTCTCTCTCTCTCTCTCTCTGTTTTCTGTCACCCATCCCCCCACCCCGCCCTCTGGAGCTATATGACCTCTCATCTCTGCACTAATTTATGTGTCTGCTTGATTCTTGTCCCTGTAGACTGGTTTTCTCTACTCTTCAGCAGATGAACACAGCCCTGCAATTTACATTATCTTGATACCAGACACAAGTGGAAATTTACTACAATCGTTGAAATCTAATTTTAAGTTCTTCGGGCTATATCATTAGGTTAATAAAGATTCAACAATTTACCAAGCTTGATACATAAGATATACTTTATACCAATTATTTGTTCAATAAAAAGTTCAAAGAAGATAATTTAATCATTAGATGAATACAGTAGATTTTAATAACCTCCAAACATTTGGGACATACATGGCTCAAGACACTGTGTTAGCAAAACCTTCACTGCTAAATTAACATTAGGCATTAGAGGTCCTTAACTTTATGTGTAGAGCTACCTCTTTTCTACTGAAAAGTTTGTGAAAAATAAAGAGATTGATGAGACAATTTCTCATCAATTGGTCATTATAAGGCAAAGGTCTGACACATATACAATACAGATATATGCCTCAAAAATAAATTTGGAGTATGTCGTAAGTGTGTATTTTTTACTTCAGAGAAGATAATTTATTGGAGAGAAGCAGAGGAGAAGTAAAATAGTAATATAAATGAATTTCTGGCTGGGCACAGTGACTCATACCTATAATCCTAGCACTCTGGGAGGCTGAGGTATGAGGACTGCTTGAGCCCAGGAGTGCAAGTTTAGCCTGAGCAAGAGTAAGACCCCATCTTTATTATTAATTTTAAAAATTTAAAAAATTAGCTGTGAGTGGTGGCTCACACCTGTAGTTCCTGCTACTCAGTGGGCTGAGGCAGGAGGATCACTTGAACCGAGAAGTTTGAGGTTGCAGTGAACTGTGATGATGCCACTACACTCTAGCCAGGGCAACAAAATGAGACTGTCTCAAGAAAAAGAGATTAATTTTCTTGAGAAGCGTTCTTAGTATTGTCCTTTTCTCATCCCAAAGACTAAACACCATAGTCAGTTTAGAAATATGACAATATCAAATCAAACAGTAGAATCAGATGTCATTCATCGTGGGAAACAACAGCAGGTTTGGCAAACTTCCCACGTTCCCCACGTCAACATAAAAATAGAGCAAAAGTTGAATCATGGTGTTAAGAATACCAAGAACAAAATGAAAACAAAAATTTTTCAAAGAAGAATGATCATATTCAAATGAATGAGAGTAGTTATCATCAAAATTTTCAGTGGCATATATGTGCAAGACTATGAAATGGCATAAAATAGAATTCATACCAATCTTAACTTTTTTTAAATCATAAGGTTCATAATCACATTCTGCAAACATCTCTTAATGATAAGGATATGTTCTGAGAAATGCATCATTGGGCAATTTCATCATTGTGTGAACATCATAAACTGTACTCACACAAAGCTAGATGGCATGGCCTACTACACACTTAGGCTATATGGTGTAGCCAATTGGTCCTAGGCTACTAACCTGTGCAGCATATTACTCTACTGAGTACTGTAGGCAATTGTAACATAATGATAAGTATTTGTGTTTCTAAGCATATCTAAACATAGAAAAGGCACACAGTATTATAATATTGTGGGACCACTATCATATGTTATTCTTCATTAGCCAAAATATCAGTATGTGGCGCGTGACTGTACCAGAAAACATGTTCAGGCTACAAATACTATCTCAAGGATAATTTATGCAGGATGGTATAAGCCCAGTGAGATCGGACCTTGCCAGAGATACATGTTCTGAAAATGTCCTTATTTTAAAAATACAAATTAGTCTCAAAAAGTCTTTAAAAACATAGTATAAAAATTTCAGAATTTAAAAGCATGAATAAAATTTCAACAGACTGGCAGTTACATCCAGGGTTCTAATCATTAGTGAATATGAGTTCCAAAAATAGAAAAATAAAAGAAGTACTTAAAGTATTGATGGGTATCCTGAAAATTAAAAAGGATAAAAGTCCTTCCTTTGAAAGAGCGAGCTAAAAAATATCCTCAAGATTAGTACTCTAAAATGGATTTTTAAATATTAATAATTGCAATGAAAAAAAATTTGGTCCAGAATAAATACGGCCAAATATCTAAGAAAATTTTTCAAAGCAAAAATAGGAGGCTTTTTTTTTTAACCAAATAGTTTATAATAGTTACAAATAGTTTATGAGATATAAATTTTATATTATAGTTTATAAGATATAAATATTTATAAAATGTATCATTATTACAATGATATATAAATAGACCCAAGGCATAGCAGAGAAAATTTGGAAACAACTTGATAAATTTATGTAAATTAAACAGTGGAAAATACATTTTGAGAAGGAAAGGCATTTTTTATTATTAAGAATAGAGCAATGACTATTTGGGAAAATGGAGCTGAAAATATATTGGTTATAAAACTGACAGCTAATTCAAATTGATTAAACAAAAACAAAAACATAAACATTTTGAATATATAAGTTAATTTTATAAACTTAAAATAGGTATTTCATTAGTAATCTATTGCTGCTATAACAAATTATCATAAATTTGATGGCTGAAAATAACACAAATTACTCTTTTACAGTTCTTGAGGTCAAAGTCCAAAATGGGTTTCATTGGTCTGAAATCATCTTGCCTGCAGCTCTGCACACTTTCCACAGGCTCTAGGGAAGGATTTGTTTCCTTGCCATTTCCAGCTTACATAGCTCCATAGTCCATTCCTTGTCTCATGACACCTTGTTTCATCTTTGTCTTAGTCAATTTGGACTGCCATACCAAAATAAACATGGAAATTTTTTTTTCTCACATCTCTGGAAGCTGGGCAGTCCAATATCAAGGTATGAAATTCAGTGTCTGGTGAGGACCTACTCCCTGGTACACAATATGGCATTTTAGCTGTGTCCTCATGTGAAGGAAAAAACAAGGAAGTTCTCTTAGGCCTATAAGGGCATTAGTCCTATTCATAAGGGCTCCATCCTCATAACCTAATCACTTCCCAAAGGCTCTACCTCCTAGTAACATGGCCTTGGCGATTGGGATTCAATATATGGATTTGGGTGGGACACACATATTCAGACCACAGTAATCTTCAAAGTCATGAGTATAACATCTTCAAATCTCTCTCTGCTATGTTTTCACAATGACTTCTCTTTGATAAAGACCTTTGTCATTACATAGGACCATAATCCAGGATGCCTATACATCGTAAGATCCTTAACTTATTTATATCTGGAAAGTCCCTTTTGCCAATTAAAGTAATATATTACGACAAGAGGTTCTTGGTCAAAGTTTGTCAGCTTACCACACACATCTTCTTTCTCAAGATAGTATGCAAAATCCATAAAGATATGTACTGGTAAATTTGATGGCATTAATACTTAAATACCTATGAAGAAAAGAATAAAAGTTGTATATCAAGAGAAAGATTGGAAGAAAATATTTGGTATATTTACAACAAATATTATGCAACATTTTTTTAAACTTCCAAAAATTCTAAAAATAATAACAACAAACATAGTCAAATAAAATATAAATGACTAATAATAATCAGAAAAAATGGTCAACATCATAGATTGGAAAAAAGCAAATGATATGAATTATTGCTTTTTACCATCAAAGTTCAAAATGAAAATCAATTGAACTTGTTATTATTAGTATATATTGGTTAAACATTATGAGGGGAAAGTTAGTGTTTATTCAAATAAATTATGCCTGAATTTTGACTCCAAATTTCCCCTTTTGATATTTACTCTAGAGGGATATTTGCCCATATACTCAAAGGAACATGTGCAAGAATATACGGTTAGATTTTTCTTAATTTATCATCATACAGTATCTGCAAAATCTAAGTGACTTTTAGTAGAGAAATCTTTAAATAAATAAAGTTATGTAAATGCTACAGTATGTTATTCAATAGTTAAATAACGAAGTGACATGATATTAATAGATATGAAATTATTTCCATACCAATTTAAAAAGACAGAAACCTTGTGTTTGGTTTGTTAAAAATATAAATGTTTATTAATTCCTTTGACAGAAACTAAATAGAGTTGCCTGACTGCATAAATAAAATTGCAAGATACCCAGTTAAATTTGAAATTTAGGTAACAAATATTCAATATTATACACCTGACTGTTGTTTGCCTCAGTTATACAATTTTAAGTTGGAAATGATAGTTTGGAGGATATTTTTATGTTTTATTTTTCAAGAATCAGCATGTCTTATCAATATTTTCTTAATGAAAATGTAAAAACTGTTGTAATAAAAGTTTCCATTAGCACACATTATAGACAAATTTATTAATGAATATACCACTTCCATAAATGACTAAAGTAGAATTACATTTAATAGTTCAGTGTTCAATGCCTGATATTTTAAAGATCTCTAATAGTAATTATATCTAGAATGCTTACTGGGTTTCTAAATTTTCTTGTATTCCAAAAAAATATTTTTATGTCACCATAAGAACATGTTTTCATTCCTCAAGTAGATTGTAAGAGTCGCAAAGACAGAGCATTTTTTCCTTAATTCTTTTCTAAGTACATCATCTATAATAAAATATTATGTTAGTAGATTCCTTTATCAGTTGTGTTGGCTTTCTGACAAGTATCTTTTAAATTTTCACATGAACTTATACTACAACTTAGATTTATCATAATTTTTTATTATTTTTTATAAGAAATATGTTTTGAGATGTGATTTTGTACTTTGGAGTGTCTTTTTCTTTGGGTTCAATGTATGTATAAATTCATGGAGATATAGTAAAATAGCTGTTACCAGAGGCTGAGAAGGGTAGCAGGAATTAAATACAAATTAAAAAAACAAAAAACAACTCTGTTGCTTAGTGTAGCCACTTTTATAAATGACCTTAGCTAGGTCTGGATAACTTGCTGCAGCCTCTACATTAGCAGTTGCTCTTCACCTTGTACTTTTATGTTATAAAGATGGCTTCTTTACTTAAATCTCTTTGAACCAATCTTTGGTAGCTTCAAACTTCTCTGTAGTTTCTGTAGTTTCTTTTCTGTAGTTTCTGTAGTTTCTTTCTGTAGTTTCTTTTCTGTAGCTTCCTCACCTTTCTCAGCCTCCACAGAATTGAGAGTGAGGATCTTGCTCTGGCTTAAGCTTTGCCATAAAGGAGTGTCGAGGCTGTTTTGATCTCTTATACAGACCACTAAAACTTTCCCCATATCAGCAATAAGCCTGTTTTGCTTTCTTATAATTCATATGTTCACTGGAATAATACTTTTGATTTTTTTTAAGAATCTTTTCTTTCTTTTCTTTACAATTTGGCTGTTTGGTGCAAGAGGCTTATCTCTGCTTAAACATGCCTTTCTCACTAAGCTTAATAATTTTTAGCTTTTTATCTAAAGTGAGAGGTGTGCTACTCTTCCTTTCACTTGAATACTTACAGGCCATTGTAGACTTATTAATTGGCCTAATTTCAACATCGTTGTGTCTCAGGAAAGATAGAATCCCAATAAGAAGAAGAGAAATTGGGGAACATCCAGCAAGTTAAGCAGGTATTATAGATACACATAACATTTATCTACTAAAGTGGCTGTTTTTATGGGTTCATGGAGCCCCAAAACAATTACAACACTAACATCAAAGATCACTGATCACAGACCACCATTACAAATACAATAATAAAAATGAAAAAGTTCAAAATATTGTGAGAATTACCAAAATGTAACACAGAACATGAGCACATGCTTTTGGAAAAAGGATGTCAATAGACTTTCTCGATACAAGGTTGACGCAAAACTTCAATTTGTAAAAAGTGTCATATATGTGAAGTACAATAAAGTGAAGCACAATAAAATGAGGCTTGCCCAGATTTGATACTCGAATGAGACAGTATTCAGCATCAATTATAGTCTTATATTTCTTGCCTTTCTTTTTTTAGGTACGTGCTGAGAAAATATGATCATAGAAATAGATGGTAATGGAATTTGTTTCATTACAGCAGGGTTTCTTAGTTCTTTGAACCTCTTAATAGTTGCATGCCCAAAATTACATAGCTATCTATCTTCAAAATTATTTTTAATAATCTATCATCTGACAACTCTATTAGGTTTTTCCTCCATTGTGCTGAAAGTAAATAATGGGAAACCTGAACAAGGGGATTTATTACCCAGCCATTAGTGCCATTCACTTTTGCAATACCAACCTTAGTACTTCTATTTGTATTTGAGGGTGCCTCAGAGTTACTTATCTTGTGGGGCAAAGCATCATAGTTATAGTAATAATACAGTTTATCATCGAAATTGAGAATAAATATGGGCAATATTAATAAGTACGCAAGAAAAGCAAGCATAGTTCATACTGGCGCTGGCAAGTCAGCACATAACCATCACCCTAATGGTTAAAAAAAATGGATGAGAGGCAAGCTGTTCCTTGTAAAATTGGAGAGGAAAATTTATAGAAAAAGAAGTGGGAAACTGCCGACATATTTTTTTTTTTTTGCAAATACATATTTTAAACAGATACATTTTACTCTCAGAAAATTGCATATTTGAAAGTTGAGGATCTTAATATTCCTAGCCATGCTAGTATTTGAGAACTCCTCTGTAATTTGTTAAGAACATAAGACAGAGTAGCAGAACATGCAGGTCTTTACTGCAGAAGACCTTTGACATAAGGTTAGTTCATTTGGAATTTATTCTGTCAGTAATATGAAATCATGTTCTAAGGCTATTGAGATCCCTGCCTCCAACACTATATATCTTGAGGTAGGGTAACTTGTATTATTAAATTCTCTGAGAAGATTGTACTGGTCAGAGGACACATCCAAATCTAATGAAATAAGTTAATGCCCAATCCACCTTTAATTCACAGAGAGAAGTTTGCTCAAGTAGTTTATTTACATGGTGCTAAATTTAGGTGAAATTACCTTCCCAGTTTTTTCACTCCCAACAGTAACTAACATTGTTCACATTCACATGGCCAAGTTGTAGAGTAGGGCTGGGGTAAAATAGAAGAAAAATATGGGATGTAGAAAAAATATGCATGTCAGGAATCTCCCTGCTGTAAATTTTAATTTTTTCTGAAAGCATTTTTTATACCTTGTTTGGAGGACTTCTCTCATTATTTGATATTTTACATAGGTAATAAGAATATTCCATGTCACCCCATGCCACAACTCAGAAGTATATCTACTTAAAATCTACAGACTTACATTATTTAAATCAAAATATCAATTCTTCACTATTCTCATCCATACATAATCTTCTTAACCAATGTGATCTCAATAAACTTGGTATCTAGACATTAGCATAATCATTCACCTTTAGTTTTCTGGGGAACAAATAAAAGGAAAGAAAAATATGAAGGTGAATTTCTGAACATGTAAATCATATCTTTAAAAAAAAGAAGTCCTGTTCTCTTTTTCACTTCTTTTCATCTTCTCAAGGACTTTACTACATCATTTAGCTAAATCATAAGTTTATTTTCTTTCTTAGAATAGTCCTTAGTATTCCCCATGTAGAATAAGAAATGAATTCCCCTTGAACTCATATTTCTGAACTAGAACCACATCTAAGAAATGCCCCTTTTTATATTGAAACATCTTAGAATTTCTTCTGTTTAGATGGTTTCTCCATTCCCTGGCCAAACGTTCTGTGAACAAATACGAACTTGAAAAAGCCAATCTTCAAGATGAATCCAGAGTGGCTAACTTGGCCAATATTTAAAATAAAGCCAAGCGACCATTTGCTGACTATTGGTCACACGTGTACTTTGAATTTCCCCAAACCCACACTGTGTTTAACTTTACGACTCCAGAACTCACCTGAAGCAATCATTCAGAACTCACCTGCCTCAGCCAATCAGAGAGCAGCTGTATCAAACAATCAGGGCTTAATTGTATTGACCAATCAGAACTCAGCTGTGCCAACTTATCAGAACTCATCAAGGTTCAATCCTTCATTTGCATAAACTGACCTGATTGGGAACCTGCTTAGGAATTAATGCTATAAAATTCAAGCCTTCTGTTTGTTCGCTAGAATGCACCTTTGTTTCCCACTGGAAGGTGCTGGTGTTTGCGAACTGTTCACTGGAATAAAGTCTCTTCCAAATTCGTTTTCAGAAAACTTTTATTCACAATTCTTTCTCCATCTATTCTTTACAGAAAAAATATTACTACTCTGCAAATCCAATCTTCACTTCTCTGTTCTTAACTGATTTAGCAGTGTCCCCAGAATCTATGGTACACTCTTTGCAAAAAAATTGCTATTAGCTGATAACATTTTCTTATTTGGTTTTAATATTTGTTTGATGGCTACATGTTAGATTTTGCTTTTGTTTCAATTATTCTTTCATTTTTTTGCCTTAATAATATAATCTCCTTGAAGTTAGGACCCTTTTTAAATTCACTGATGCAAACAAAGAAAGAAATAAACAAATAGTGAATTAATAGTGAAAAGTATTTTTTTGAAATACTTTTATTGAATATATAGAATACAGAGATATGCAGCTGATGTAAGCAGATCAGTAATTAAAGATATGTTAATTTTAGTGATTGTATCAAGGAAACAAATTTAGGCTTTCTTGGTTTTTTCAGTTAAGTACTTTACCTATTTCTTTGACCCCTGACCTTTTCTTTATTATTTTCTTCCAGTTTTTTTAATTTTCTTTCCCCGTTTCTAGATTTATTTTCAAGCATTTGCATTTAAGGCTACACATTTCTCCCTTTGGTCTGCTATAGCCACATCTAATAGCTATATCATGTCATATTTTTATTATTATGTGGTTCAAAATATTTTCTACATTCTTGTAATTGTTCCTTTAATATATAATTAGTTAGAAGTACATGGGTAATAGTCAAACACATGAGATTTTATAGTTCTATTTTTAAAAATAATTTATTTGTATTTTAATTTATTTATAGTCATAAAACATACCAGAGATTGATTTTTATGATTTAATTTTGAAGAAAAGTGCTTCATTTGTACATTTGATATCACCTTCGTATAATCTCGAGTCAGCAGCTATAACTTTTTTTGTTACTATGCTTGCCTCTAGCATCACCCCCTTACTGCCTCCAAATTGCTGCTTTTAATTTTCTGTGTGCTGGGAAATCAGATAAGCAAGCACTTTCTTTTAATGGTGTCTAAAATAAGAGTGTATAAGACCTGAGGGACTCTTCTATGAAGAAAGTGCTTGGCTTTTGCTTCATAATCTACATCACATTTATTTCTATTGAGGCCACTGAGAGACATGTGTTTGTTGATTTTCAGGTTCATGACTCTGTGTGATCTTATTAGTTGAAGTTTATCAAATTTATAGTGAGTGTCCACTAAACAGCAGGCACTAGACCTGAGCTGGGTTTACACATGTGAATAAGGCAGTGTTCATCCTTCAGGCTGTTTGAGTTCAGTAGGGGAGAAATTCACACCCGCAGAAAATGACAATATAACACTACAATTGATATATTTTTTTGAAAGGCTCATGCAAGGATGTATGAAAATGCAGAACTCAATTAGGCACCTAACCCAGACTGGAGTGAGCACATGTCTAGTAGGATGTGTAGAGAAGTGATAAGAAAAGGATTTATGATACAAAGGATGCTTGAAATAAGTATTAAAGAATTAATAGACATTAGTCAGAGAGTAAAAATAAAGGCATTCCAAATAAAAGGGAAAATATCATGAAAAACACAAAAGAAAGCAAACAAATGGCAGCACGTATGTGGGCTCCCATAAGTAGAAAGTTTGTATGTAAAAATGCATGTTAACAGAGTAACAGTGGGGAAAAACTTATTACTGCTTTGCTTGAGTTTTGATCTCTACCTAAAATGTTTTATATATACGTAGTGTATAACAGAACTACTGGTGGATATTACTATATTACTTAAATTGTTTTATAAAAAGCAAAAACACGCAAGTTTAAACACTTCTGGTCACCAGTTAATTTATGATGTCTCCATACTCTGTTCTTTTGCATATAGTATCTACTCATAATGAAATAATTGTTTCTCTAAAATATTAAGGAAATTACATGATTACATAGTGTCATATGCACCTGTTTACATTCTTACATTTGCATTTTTGAGTTGGAGAAAAAGCAAATTAATCAAAGATATACATAAACCTGAGCGAAAGCACATTATTTATTCCTTAAAAATATTTGAGTTAAGTGAATCAGAATTTATTCATTTAACAAATATTTGCTGATTCCTTTCTATACATCTGATGGTGCTCTGGACATAGGATAAAATGATGAGTGGATTTTGGCACATTTCTGGTATTTCTAATCATACAGTCTAGTGGAGGAAGCAAGTAATCACAAAAATAAATGTTAAAATGCTTTTTGTGTTATGATGAATAACACATAAGGAACATTTGATTTATTCTGGGAGTGCAATCTCTCATAGGCTCCAGAGGAAACAAAAAAAGTGAAGTGAGATCTAAAGATTGAATTAAAATTAACTAGGTAATGGGAGGCAGAATAAAGGGGTGAAAGAGAGGTATTAATATTTCAATCAGCCTGGTTAACATGTGCAAGGACCTGATATGGGAGTGAGCAGTGTGAATCTGTGCAACAGAATGAAGCCTGAAGGGTGTGAATGGGGAAAGTGAGGGGAAGAAGTATGGTTTGTAGACAAAGAGAAATGGGATAAGCAGGTCTATGTAGAAACCTAGGTGCCAGACCAAATAAGACCTTGTAGTTAGTTGAAATTTTTGACCCAAATAGAGCTTTTTTTTTTCCTTTTTATTCTCAACATTTTTTTATTTGAAAATAATTTCAAACTTCCAAAAAGTTGCACAAATAAAATAGTTCAAGGAGCAGCCATATATACTTTACCAATTTATCTATTTTCACAACTCTCCCTGTTTGATTTATAATTTGTTCTCTGTCTCTCTCTCTCTCTCTCTCTCTCTCAATCTCTTGTTCATGTGGTGGTGGTGTGTGTATGTTTTTCTGAACCAGTATGCACAGCCTGACCAACTGTCCTACTTTTAGCACTGAAAGTCCCAGGTCCCAGGAAACCTGTCAGTCCCAGACAAAACAGGATAGCTGGTTACTAACAGGATGCAACTCTATGGCTGAGTATTGCATTTCGCAACCATCAAAATCTTTCAATTTCCTTTAATCCCAAATATTATAGCCTGACATTTGTCCTTATAATATTGATATTGTTAAAGAATACAGTGTTCCTTTTTTAGAAATACAGTGTGCCTTATTTTCTATATTATGTTTCTTCCTCACACATTCTTCTCAGGGTATCACATCTAGACATAAGTTCTGAATAATCATGTATTAATGTACCTCCTTTTACATATTAGTATCTTACTAATATTCACATAGGATATTATCTGCAACATCTTAGAACAAAACAATAAATTGTGTGGTAATGAGACAATTAAAAAAGACTTAAATTGGCTATAGGTCCAGCACTCTGATAGATAGAGGCACAATTGAAATATGAAAAAGTTGTCATCACTGTTCATAAGGAATTGTGTTAGACTAAACATTACAGTCAATACAAACTGAGTAGATATTATAAATTCAATAAATCAATGGTAAAAGAATGAATTAACAACCTCTGGAAAACTAATTAATTAAGAAGTCACATCATTGATTAATATAAACATCTTGACAAGGTGCCATGGCTCAAACCTATAATCTCAGCACTTTGAAAGACAGAGATGGGAGGATCTCTTGAGGCCAGGAGTTCTAGACCAGGCTGGGCAACAGAGCAAGATCTCATCTCTACAAAATTAAATAAGTCAATAAATAATAAAAATAAAAAATATAAATATCCATAGTTCTCCTATAATCTCATGTGTTTATCTTATCCATATAATCAAACTAAATGACCCAACTCAATTTTATTTTCCTTATATTAGATTTGTATCATTTCTGTAATACATGACCACAAACTCAGCTGTTTAAAAAAACACAAATTTATTCTTTTACAGTTCTGGAGGTCAGAAGTCCAAAATTAGTCTTGTGGGACTAAAATCAAGGTGTCCACAAGCTGATTCTTTCTGATAGCTCAAGGAAGAATCTGTTCCCTTTGTCTTTCAGCCACTCGTGGTATCATCACTTTTTGGTTTGTAGTCCTATCATTCCAATCCCTGCTATGGTCACCACATTGCTTTCTCCTTGCGATCTCTGATACTCTTGTGTCATTTTAAGGATCCTTGTGATTACTTTGGGACCATTGAGATAATCCAAGATGATCTCCCAACTCAATATTTTTAACTTAGTCACATATACAAAGTCTTTTAGCGATGTACAGAAACACATTCGCAGGTTCTGGGGATTAGAGTAAAAACATTTTTGGGATGCCATTATTCAATTTATCAGGTTCTCAAATTGTGTATTGAGTTTCAGATTATGTATATAGAATCCTATCACCTAAACACACAGGCACCATAAAGACTAACTGTCTAAAACTGAACTCACTTGTGCCTACTAAATCCCTCTTAATCCATTTAATTTCTAAACCTCCATTTGAATTTTCTCTGCTTTTAAATAAGCCTTGCCAATTTAAGTTTATCAAATCCAGAAATATATTACTCATCTAAACCACTCCTTCTTTCTTCTTTCTCACTTTTTTTGAGGGATTAAATCTCATTATGCTTCCTTCTTTATATCTCTTTGTATCTGCTGTTGTGTCAGTTCAGGAATAAAAAAGTGAACAGAAGTGCCAAATATTTAAGAATGGCATCTATTCTTTAGAGTTTGGAAACTTTTATTTCATTTTTTTTTAAATGAAATTTTTAAAATGTCATTTTTTACAATTTCATTTCATTTTTACTACATTTCA